ACACACATTAAAAGCATGACAGAGCTCTTCAACGATCTAGCGGTCATTGGAGAAGATACCTCCGAAGAGGACCGTGTGGTCTACCTCCTGGCAAGTCTGCCCGACTCTTTCAACATGCTCGTCACAGCTCTTGAAGCTAACGAAACAGTACCGAGCATGGAGATAGCGACAGAGCGATTGCTAAATGAAGAAAGAAAGCAGACAAGCAGAACTAAAGGCTCTGACGAAGAAGGAGCATATGCTACAAAGCATTTCAGTAAGAAGAGTCAAGTCAGGTGCTATCGTTGTCACAAAGTTGGTCATATTCAGCGTGACTGTCCAGAAGCTAAAGTGTTCACTTCAAAGTCACAGAGTACCTCTCGACAGAAACACAGAAGAGAAGAAAGGCACAGTGCGAATAAGACGGAAACTATGAATAAAGACACAGACAGTGATCTTGGATTCACAGTGACAACTCTATCAGCTGAAGACGGTGCAAGCACAAGTTTATGGATTGTAGACTCAGGAGCTACATGTCACATATGCAACAATAAAGAAGCATTTGTGAAACTCGACTCAAAGTCACAGACGATCATTCTGGGAGATGGTCATAGTCTCAAGTCAGCTGGTATTGGATTAGTGGAAGTACAGCTTATATTACCCGATGGTTCAACAAAGAGGACTCAAATACATGATGTCCTTTATGTTCCGAGTTTCTCCTACAATTTACTAAGTGTGGCTAAGCTCATAGAAAGAAGAAAGAGAGTCACCTTCTATGCTACTCAGGTCGTAATCACTGATCATAAAGAGAGTGGTTGGTGTAGCATCAAGGAAGGGTGGTCTATTCTATCTTAACTGTGTCAGTGGAGAACAGTCATCAAAAGCCAATGTCACTAAGAAGGATGTGAGTGTTGGTTATCGCACTTGGCACAGAAGATATGGTCACTTAGGAGAGCAGTATCTAGAACAATTGGTAAAGAAGAAGCTAGTTACTGGACTTACTCTCAATGGTACTAAGTCTCCTGGATCATGTGAGCCATGCATAGAGGGGAAGCTACACAAGACAAAGTTTCCAATGAAGGAAAGGAAACGAGCTGGTAAACCACTGGAACTCGTACACAGCGATGTGTGTGGGAAGGTGAAGAACGAATCTCTGAGTGGTAAACAGTATTTCGCGAGGGGTTCGCAACAGGAGCCTATTGAAAACTGAATTTACCTTAGAGTGACTTTTAATTGCGGGTACTAAATTTTTGCGATTTTAGCACAAGGTAGATTTTGCTGGTATTAAAAATTGCGATTAAGTAATTATTACTAATAGTTATATGGCATCATTATGTCATTATTAATAATTGCGCGTATTAATAATTGCGATTTTTAACCCAAACGCAAAATTCGCAATTAATAGTATCCGCATTTAAAAGCAACCTTAATATATACCCTTTTCAATGCATAGCATCTACCGTATTACGCATAAATAGGGGTGACGTATGTGTACAGACAAACATACTCGTCTCGTTTATGTGGGGCTTGTTCAGGCTCGCCCCAATTACAATTTAAATACAGTCACTGCTTCAGAGAGAAACAGAGCTATTACCAATTAAGACTTAAAAAGAGACCAAGTATCAACAAAGAATTTATTTGGTTCCTATAAAGTTAAATTAAGCATAAAGTGCAATGGAGTAAATTGTCTGATTGATGGTGCAAATCGAAAAAGAGTTCTGGGTAAGTACATTTTGCATGTTCTGTAATGGTAATTTGTTATTGTCAAATAGTATTTAATTATTTTATTTCAATTGCAATATTGACAACTAATAGTATCATTAATTAAAATTCACTCAACGGGTAAAAACTAGTCCAAGTATCAAATAAAGATATTGATTGATTTTAATGAATGTTACAAGTTAGCAGTCTGACAATAATCTAAGATGCTTCTTGTCCTATAGCATTGAAATGCAACAGCTGCATGAAGTTATTAATTATAACAACTTACAAATCTTGAACTGTTGAATTGCCAGTCAGTTCTAATTTTCTCAAAGCATGTATTATTCCAACTTCTTCAAGGCAATTTTGTCTGTGAATATGACCTAAAAGTCAAAAAAATTTGAACACTTTGCTGTCTGCTCACTAACAATGACCACATTAATTATTAAGAATCATGACCATTAATAAAAATTAGCATGTAGCAATTATATGTACATATCAGTACCTCCATATGAATTATCTGTTAATAACTGAATCAGTGAACAAGCAGCCATTAGGACTGGATCAAATGTACAAACTCTCTATTAATTAGAAGTAGATCTACTTATACATAAATAAGAACAATAACTTACTAAAATTTGTCCCAAACATTCAACCACAAGTACTGTTTCTGCTACAATATTTCGATTTCTCTCACCTCCACTGGATATATTGATTAATACACATAATACCTAAATTATTTGGTTGATGATTCTGTCACTAAAATCTAGAGGAAATTACCTGCTCACAAAGTCCAGAAGGCAGATTTGAAGCTAAAAGAGCTCCTAAAGCTTGTACTAAAGGTACATCTTGCTCTTTTATTAATGAATCTGATACCTAATAGTGCCAATGATATTAAACATTACAAGAGGAACTGACCTTAGTGGATGATGTAAGATTGACTAATAATCCTAAACACTTCATTAATAACTTCTCATTATTCTGATGCTGTTCCATTAATCTATTTTTTATAAAAGCAATAATGAGCATAATACCATGCCTTTTACAATATTAAGTGCTCTATGGGCACTCCAGCCATTATGTCATTAAGTACATCCTCTGTAGCATCACGAGCACAATTCTACATGAATCTCTTTAAGTATAAATTACAAACTTGTGATTACCATCAGTGCCCATACTGAATTGAGTTGTATGCTAGGATTACCGTTAGTAGTCAGACTGCACAGTATAGTAATAATCCCTTCATTAATCAATACCTATAAAACATACATAGTAACAAGAGAGTGTCATGCATCATATATACAGGACCCAGTAGGTGGTGGCAACTATGCTCAGTGTTTAAGCATATGTAGGGTAGGAGCTCATAAATGCAATGTATGGCACACAATATACATGGTTTTTGGCTCCATTATTGACCAACTTCAGTATGTATCAGAAATTATTGACCTCTAATCAAAGTTAGCTCAAAATCTCTACAGAAGGCAAGCACATGTACGTGTATCAAAAATTTGAGGTCATTTTAAACCCCAAAATGCTCATAACTCAAATATTATTTGTCGGAAACTGCTAAAACTTTTTACATAGCATAAGGACATCAATTTGTATCAAAAATGTAATAAAAATTTGGGGTGACTTCAAAGCCTTTTTTTGAAAAATCTATGTGCTATATATAGCCTTTAATTTTTTAAAAAATTGGCTCGTTTTTTAAAATTTTCATACCTCAAAAATTTTTTTTCAGAAACAGCTCAAACTTTATACATAGCATAAGGACATCAATATGTATCAGAAAATTTAACAAAAATTAGGGGCAATTTTAGAGCCAATTTTTGGAAAAAACTATGGGCTATAGGCTTTGCTTTTTAATATATACACAATGTACTTGATTCAGCATCTCTAATTTTATAGTCTTGTATGCAAAAATATATCATTCTTGTAATCCTCAACTTTAAAATTATTGGTCTAGAAATGTTGAAGCTTTTTATATGGGCATAAGTAAAAATGAGAGGGGGTAATTTTCGAGCTAATTTTTTAGCACATTTAAATTGTGGGAATCTACTGTGTGACAAATCTGCTACTATATCCAGTGCATGGTACAGGGTACAAACATACTTGGTACATGTACACGTACATACGGTTGTGTAATTTTTATGCTAAATTCTTAATGCATGAGTAAATGTAACATACAATTACCTCTCTACAAGGAGAAAAAGAGAGTAACAAGTTGCATACCAAACTCGTAGCTACAGCAACAAATTCATCATTTGTTGAAGACAACATCTATAAAAACAAGACACATTACGATTATTATAAATATCTTTATAATCAATCAAGTAACTTAATCATAAAACAGGTTGGTGGTACCTATTCATGTACTCACACAAATTGTCAAGCTACAACGTAGTTTAATTTGCAGGGTTTCCCACAGAATTTTGATATAGCGCTCTTGCAGCTTTTTGTTAGTGGATTGTTTAGTTTCTCAAACATTGGGCCAAAGGGTACGTAAATGACAAGGAAAAATTCTCCATTTTAATAATTTATTTGATAAATTTGAAATTTGATCAAATATTGATTTTTTATCAACTTTCAAAGTTGCACAAAATTTGGCCAATGACCAAAGGCTATAGCCTTTGGTTTCTAACATTCTGCCTAAATTTTGCCAAAATGGCTAGGAGAGATTTCTCAATTAAATTTTTTTTGTGACACATACATGTACATGTGTCCTGTGGCCTACGTTGTACGTCAACTTTGAGCTAATTCCAATCAAATCAGATATTTTATGAATAATTTTTGAAGCTGCTCCAAATGCTACGTACTGCTTATCAGCTCATGAAGCATGCTGTTTAGCTCTCTCAGCATGACTTGTGGGAGACCCTGCAGAACTTGTCTGTGTAGTAGCTTAAGTATGCATGTACATGTAAATACCTCTAGGACATGCTTCGACATATGTATTTCAACATCTGAGAGATATGTTCTTAATAGTTTTGTTGATCTTGACAAGCTCAAAAGACATCTATCACATAAAAGAGGCTTATACCGTATAAGTGGTTTTTTTTCGAAGGTTGCAAATTTCGCGAATTTCGCGGATTCCCTCCTAATTCGCGAAAATAAAATCCGCGAAAATCAATTTAATACGGTACCCGCATGGCACACGTGGTAGGATTCGCGAAATTAAAATCCGCGAATTGGAATTTTAGCAGATTTCGCGAAATATAATTCCCTCAAAAAAAACCACTTATACGGTAATTCATTTACTATTGTATCATGAGTGACATAATAAGAATATTAAGGCATACATGTACATGTAGTTCATTCTTCTTCATTTAATGACTATACAGGATCCTAATGCGTCTAATAGTAAATGCTATAATCTGACAGTCACACAAAAATATTAGAATTTGATAAATCTGTCCACATATTTCCAGCTATCAAGTTACAGTGCTCAATATTATGGCCAACGTTAATAGTGCAATTTTAAATTCACATTACTTGGTTGCTTCGATCTTCGTTGCTGGTACATCACTCTGAAGACATTCAGTTAAACATTGTATCATCTTTGGTTGGGTGACAACCTGTATGATCACCAATAGTAACATCATAACAATCAAACCCACTCATACCTTCAGCCTTACGTCTTCAACTGAGGAACAGAGCTGAGACATTAAATGGAGTGAACTCTATGTAATAAAAAGAAGTATAAATCAGTTATAACTAACAAAGCAATTTCAAAATTTCTTGTGCATTATACTGTACATCTACACCTAGATGTATGTAAGCTGATTTAAACTCTAGACTATACAACACATGTGATATACATGTACATGTTTCTTATTAACACAAAATACATGTAAATGATTACAAGCCATGAAAATTTGACCAGTAGTGTACAGATACAAATATTACATTCTCCCAGCATAGTTCAATTTAAAGGTAGTAAATAAATTACATGTACATGTACATGTATGTACTCTTAATAAATGACATCCAAAATTAACTTAATTCATGCTTATGTAAAATTGTATGCACTAAAAAAGTGCATGTTTATAATCAAACCTGACAGAGAGAATGATAGACTACTATTGACTGATCATCATCATCTACGTCAATATTATCCTGATCGGGTTTATTACTCAAAAATCCTACCAGCGATGATAATAGATTATCAGTGCTGGCAGCAATCTCTTGATCACTGGGGTGGTCTGACACCAGAAAAGCTGTCAAATACAACAAAGACATGAGTAATAGTGGACAATATAATACCTAGAGTGTTGGCTGCAGTTATTTTTATGGTCGAGTCTTCAATGTCAGGTTTACATAGTGATACAAGACCCAGAATCAACCTTTCAATAGCTCCTAAGTTTGAGCCCTTTAAAACATGGGCTAGACTACAATACATGTAAATTAGAAAAAGACAAAAGTGAAACAATGGACTAGAAGACTAAGAGTATTATATGTACATTCTTAATGGCTATTATTATCTAAATTATTACATGTGCACGAAACTGTCTAAAAGTAATTTTTATCAATTCTATTTGGCTACAGTACATGCACATACACCTGCAGCATCAGCAGGGTTTCCCACAGAATTTTGGCATAGTGCTCATGCAGCTCTTGTCAGTGGATTGTCAAAAACCCTGGACTATAGTATGCAGAGTATTTCACAAAAAGAAAATTCTCCATTTTAATAACTTTTTTGATACACATGCATGTTCTTCAGATTTGAGCTGGTTTCAATCAAGTTTAGATCTTTTATGAATTTTTTTACATATAATTGGCTATCAAAATGCCAAATTCACAAAATTTAGCTCACCCCCCCCCCCAAAAATCCTGCTGTGATAATCAAAACTCAGTGTCTGTAAAAATAACTTACCACACAGCAGAATGAAGTTTAATGTGCACATAAGGTGAATATTTTAAGAGATTGTCCAGCAAATTAAAAAGTCCACGAGTATCATATGCAGAAATTTGCACTAAATAAAATAAAAAATCATCATTAACCCATAGTAGTCATAAGTTTTTGCTTATATTTCTTTATTAGTACAGCAAAAATTTTTGGGGGGATTTTTATTTTCAGAACAATTATACACTCCTACATGTACATGTACTGTATAGCGGGTTTTTTTTTGAGGACAATAAATTTCGCGAATGACCCATATCCAGAAGTTTGTGGAATTAATTTTCGCGAATTTCCACTAATCTGCCATCTTGTTCCATGATTAAATTGATTTTCAAGGAATTTAATTTCGCAAATCATGAAAAAAATCTGCGAAAAATAGGTACATGTATATTCTAAGAGAATTACATGAGGAAGTCAGCCTACTGCACAAATAAGCCTAAGGTTAAAAATTTTACGGTATATAAAGTACTACTTATAGGTTCAAAAATTCACAAATATTTGATTAGCATAAATTTGAACCTCGCAAAATAAATTTATGAACTATGGTACATGATTTAGGACCTTCCATGGAAGGAATAAATACAGACCGAGTACTGAATGAAGGGACATTCTTTATACACAACACTTAATACTTAATATATACATGTACATGTATGCATTAATCTCATACTCAATTCATCTAAAGCATTTTCATTGTCTTTGATTACAGCACACAAACATTTCAGACCAGCACACAGAACCTATTATGATAACAGGGAATGCTACAAAGTCAAAGAGCAGTAAATATATATAATGTACTTATTACCTTTTGTGACTGGGACAACAATAATGAACTAATGGCTTGAAGTACATTATTATCAAGTAAAATATTTTGATGGTCTTCACACTATAATAGAACAGAAATGAATACAGTTAATTTTCACAATGGCAAAAAATTTGTGTGCACGTTCAAAATAATTTGAGAAATTTTGTAGCTGCATGCAGGGAAAATTTTGCTCCGTGAAATTAATTTGCATAAGTACCTGGTTACACAGAACCAGTGCTAATACAGTACTAATTGTAGGCATTTGAAATACACCAGTGAATGTACAAGTGACTCACATACATTTAGGCTGAAGCAGTGAGGCTTACTGTATAGCAAGAATCATTTGTAGCCCAAAATTTTCACAAAATTACCATTTTATTCAAAATTCAAGAAAATAAAATCCGTGAAGATCAATTTGATACAATTTCACACGGCCAAATGGCAAAAATCACAAAACTAAAGCCACAAAATAGATTTTCGGACAAATTCTTGAAATCTTTGGGAATGAAAATTTCTTGCTATACAAAAATATAAAAAAAACATGTGCTGTTTTTATAGGATGACCACATCATGAATAAATAATGATTGCAGAGCTTACTTGACAAGATATTCCAATAATGATAGCAGCACTCTCATTGACTGGAGGAGGTGAAGCCAATAGTCCCAGTAGTTGCTTCACAGTATTGACATCCTAACAAAACAATGAAACCAATTAATAAGTGCAGCTAGTGCACACTACATTACATGTACATATCTGACAGTAAGTGCAAGGGTGCTATTATAGGAAGCAAAGTACATGTGAAAACCAAGTACTGTAAATCGGGAAATTTTCGTTGTTAAAATATTTTCGCGGTTGAAGTGACCTGCGAAATTTTAACACATGAAATACTTTCTAGAATGAATAATAAGATTACCAGAATTATTCTAACATGCAGTGGTGCATGCACAAGGCTCTTCTAAAAGCCCAATGAAGGCCTGAAGCTCTCATCCAAGAGGCTCCTTGTCAGTTTCAGTTATGTCACGAGCAACTTCCATTGAATAGCTGTCCATCGTCATTAAGAGTTAGTAGCCACGTGTCCAGTTTATGACACATCTAAAAGTTTTCATGTTGAGAAAAAAATTTGCAGATGGGTCACCAGCAAAAATAAAACACCTTGAAAAAATTTCAAGCCAATTATTTTTAACACGAAAAAATTTCCCGATCTACGGTACTCACAATATACATGTCCTTTTGCTGCCATTTTTCCTAATGTGCCACACCTTTTGTGTGGAATTTAATTTCACAAATTTAATGAAAACGCGAATTAGCAAAATTTATTACCAGTGAAACATAACCCCTATACAGAATTACAATTGTAGATTTTGTACATGTAGGTACTATCATTGTGATTTACATGTAAAAATATATAATATTATATAATGTGCACATTAATATTGAAAATTTAATCCAATTACACAATTAGCACCTGTATTTAATTCACTATAAGGTTGTTAAAAATGAATACTGTTTGTGATGTATGTACCTGAAATAAAATATTAGGTGGTACTGGTCCAGTTGAATAAATGAGACGTAACGATTTTACACAGGCAATCATCACACTTCTATCATTATGACATAGCCCTGATAAAAAAGTTTACATAAATGTAATTACATGTAGGGCCTTTCCTAATGTAAATGGGTAAGAAAACTATTTCATTGCAAATACTGAATGGTAAATACGTGTATAATAAAATTATAAAAATAGCAGGAGTCTGCAGGACTATTGGCAGGATTTCCGACAGGATTTTGGTATAGTGCTAAGCTGATGCATATACATGTACTTATGCCACTTAGAAACTTCGAGCTAATTCTGATCAAAGTTGGATATTCATAATTTTAAGTCAAGCATGCTTTTAGCTCGATTAGCACCGTTGGCAAGCTGTTACTATACATAGCCAGGGAATTCGTATCGAGGGAAGTTTTGGGAGAGTATTATTAACCAGATAATTGTTATAATAATTTCTATGCCGTACATATACTGTGCCAGGCTTGGGGTCAATTACAATTATAATTGCAATTACAGCGTCAATTACAATTACAGTGTGTAATTGTAATTGTAATTGGGTTATACATATTGTAATTGCGTAATTGTGACTGTAATTGTGCCTACAATCTTACTTTGATATCCTACCTATATCAGTCCTCTAGAGTGAATTTTCAGCATAATAAGCCTGATTAATGTTCACTGATTAACAAAACATTTAAAAACTGAATGCAATGTGGTAAAACATCATTGTTATTCATGTCATGATACGAGTAAAATTAAGATCATTGTAATTAATGCTGTAATTGCAAGATATTGCCATTGTAATTGTAATTGAGTGTCTCATCTATGGCAGTAATTGTAATTGTAATTGATCTAGTTTTAGCTACTTTGGTAGTAATTGTAATTGTAATTGAAATGAAATTTTGTAATTGACCCCAAGCCTGTACTGTGCATGTAGTTAACTCCAAAGTCTCAAAATATTTTGCAGAATGTTCACCACAAGTAATTACTAGTATTTAGTACATCTACGTATACATGTATGCAAACACAGAAATGATTTCTGCACTATGCCTATTGTCTAACCTTTTATAAGTAGATTTAGTCCACCATACTCCACCAATTGATCCACAGCCTCAGGTACTCCTACATGTACATGTACACAATACACATAGAATAAGAAGATAAAATAATAATCATGCTAAGGTCACTCCAATTAAAGTCATTGTTTCTCTTTTCATGTGGAGGGTTGATACAGGCTGACAGGTGAGTGGGGCTTTATTAAACCTATTTGCTATCATTAATTATAAAATAACATAAAAATAATGCTTAAAGCAGGTGTAGGTAGGAAAGGAGAGAATATGAATTTAATTGGAGTAGCTATAGCTAAATTATTGTTCAAGCCAACCTTGAGCTAAGCTTCCCATGATAATGATTAGTTCACACAATAAATGAGAATCATTCTGGACTTTACTCCATGCATCAGTTACCCTGTAATAATAATAAGACCGTTATACTAATGTTAGAATTATACCATTCTATTATTTGTATCATTAAATATTGATGTGATACTATAATCTATTAACTTTGCCATGACTATGTGACATATGTACACAATGTAATTTATATTTATTTTGGTTCGATCACAGAGTTACATGTATATTTTTAAAAGTGAATTAAATTACATGTAACACTTAAACTAATAAAATTGTCTGTCAAGGGCAATATCTTGTATTTGAAATAATAGTCAATATACAGCATAAAATCTTTGGGAAGTATCTACAGTAGAACTTTTGTTAATAGACACTATCTATAGCAGACACCTCCATTTAATGGACAGCACTTAGTGTGCCAATACATTCTTTATGGTACAAAATAACCTCCATATCAAGGAAGCCCATGTGTAACAACAACCACAGGTATCCATTATAGCAACTAGATTGTAGCCATACCATCCTAATCCACCCACTCTCTAAATTGCGTGTTGTTCAAAATAGACTTCTTCAGGTGAGATTGACGGTGGCCTATGAATATCATTACTGTTTATTACGGTATCCATCTACGGTGATAAGTGGCCGCCATTTTGGACGGCAAGATTCAATGGAGGATGAATGAAGAAAAGGCAAAACTGATTCTTTTCGTTGGCATGGAGCTTTTTCAAGCTACAAAAGCTGGTTGGAGGAAAGAATGGTCGCTGCTAAGCATCTCCTAAAAGGGATTTGGTGCAATATGAAGCATATTCTTTATTACAGCTTGCTTTCTGCATTAGCCCATTCATACTCCATAGAAAGTTGCCGTCCACGAAAATTATTTCAGAGTCAGCCAGGCTCAGTCACGCCCCTTGCCGTATATCATTCTTTGACGTAATTCATTCTCACCCAAAGAGGTCTATAGTTTACTTAATGTATGAAAGACAGTGTATGACAAGACCATAAAGGATTTGACTTTGAATAGCTCTCAAAAACCCTCACTACTCCCACATCATAAGATAGGCTGACAAATACGAATCAAGACTGAGTTCAAGATTAAGTTATTCGTGTGAACTCATACCTCACCCTCACCTCATTAACACTCCATTTCCAACGAATTTCCTTTTCTGCTTCAAGTTACCAATCACTGTGTTACGAACTTTCCTAAAATGAAACAATTTAAAGGTCAGGCAAACTAATTTAAAATTACTTTAATGTCGAAAGAGTAAAGAAATCCTCAGAGAAATCATCCATGCTGGTTGAATAGGAATGTCTAAAATAATTTAGACACGCCCATGACACACCTCAAGCACATGCTAACACGTGTCGACTACAGCACAGCCTGCACAGGCATAGTATGATGAACTAAAAATTCCTAAAATTTTAACTAGATAGATTTATAGTCTAGTTAAAGGGGTGATATGTCATTAGATCTAACACTGTTTCTTTTTGTGACTTAAGTTCCCATGCTAGATCTACATGTGCCAAATTATCCACATTGAGGAGCATTATAATTCTCACAGGGAAAGAGATTATTTTGCAACTAGTTCACTACATCTAAAAGTAGTCTACTACATATTGTAAGAATAAAAGTCTAGCAAAATGTGTATATGCAATGCATGACTAAGTTTGGAAATAAGACCACTGCTGTAGTATCACACTTGATAGTTAGGAAGAGATTTTGCTTTGTCCAATGGAAAGAAAGTAATAGATCTTGGGCTAGGCTCATTTGCTACCTATAACAATAAAGTGAAAAGTAGTTTGAGCAATGAACATTGTTATACAACTATATGTACCTGAGAAGAAACATATTTCTCAATAGCATTGTAATCATTGGCATGGAGACTATCCAAATACAAAATGTAATGGATATAATTCCAAACATTATGATCTTCATCATGATGCTTTTGAAAACTCTATTGAATACAGAATAACATTTGGTAAAATCTATTTGTACAAAGTACAGATACCTTGTTTTGCCTCTCAAATTTATCCTTTTCAATATTACAAATGAGACATTTGGTTTTATTATCATTCTCAACTTCATCCTAAAAATGTTTAGGATTAAGTTAGGAAAAAAGGTATCTTTTTACATTTTCCTGTCTCATATCTGAAAAACTATCAACCAGTATGGCAATAACTATGTTCAGTCCGAGTGTAGTCACGACAATGTAGAAAACAATATCATAAAATGCTCTGATTCCCAAGAGTGAAAAATTAGGTTGATAATCACTAGATGGACGTATATCAAGTGCCTATACATGCAAGGGAAAAATAAATGTATTATCACAATAAATTAAAAACAGCATACTGTTCCTAAAGTAGTCAAGAGTCCCAGACGTGACACAGTCACAAAACATTCAAACAATGTATTGCAGAACTCATCCTTTGTATTAGAGAAATAATTCTGAAGGAGAGCAAAACTGAAGACAGCGTAAATATAAATGATGACCACACACAGCAAAAAGACAGTGATCAGCTGAAAAGCTATACAAAGTGAAATTTCACTTAGCTATTTGTTGTTCTTACCACTTCGTTTAAGAGCTCGAACTATGTACAACATAACATCATTCCTTAAAAACAGATATATCAAACAGCCACAGTAAAAGTAGCCATGTGTTGCCAGTCCAGCTATAGAGAAAAGAACAAACAGGATGCGATAGATTGGATGAAAACTAAATAAAAATATTTGAAAATATTCTGCTGGTTTTGGCCTCTTGTTGCGAATCGGTCCACGGCAAAGAAGCTGATGTATTCTATTAACGACCTGGTAAAGTTTCTTTCTACGCAACAATCCTTTAACAAGCTTATACCTATATTAGAATAAAAAATTAATCATTAAAATTTATTTGTAATAGAGGTCTAGAACTTACTTAAACCGAGTTATGAGTAGCATTTCAATGCGTATATTTTTTCTGTTTTTAAGAAAATATTGTAAGGCCATCCATAATGAGAGTAGAGCATGTATCGAACCAAGAATGTAGAGAAGCGGATAGTACCCCACTGGTGCCTCAGGTGAATAAATTGGCTGAAAATACATTGGACTAGTACTGTTACATGTCTCATTATAAAGACCATTGTCTTCACATACACCACTTGCAAAGCTATCAGAACTAATGAAAAATAAATAATACTTTTTCTTACTTAGAGGTAATTGGAGCACTAAGTGAAAAAAGTACAATCAAGTTCATAAGAAGTGTCAGCCAAAATAACGCAAAATGTCTTCCAGTGCTATAAGTATAAGAGTAATAGCATAAACAACTAAACATACTTAAATAGAATACTTACGAAAATATAAAAAGCCAGCGAAATGCACTTGACAAATTTTTCTGTTACAAAATTGGCATTGATTTTAAACTGATGTTATTTTGATACCTTAGCTTTTTTATCAGATTTTATTGCATCTGTCCATTTCAGTAGATCAAATAACTTTTCTTGAGGTGTGCCTCTCTTAATATGCAACAATATAGTCTTTTTATCATGCTCATTCAAATGATTCTGTAGTAACAATGGAGCAATAGCATATAAAATAAGAACTTACATGAGGATCATAAGGAAAAAATGCTCTAGTGAGTACTTTGTCATTTTGCGTTTTGTAATTAATTTCAACACTATTTGACCAGCTTTCACAGTGCTCCCACATTCTCTTGGCATCCTTAACACTTTTTCCAAACAAATTTTTAAATTTAGAAGTTCCCAATGAGTTTTTTTCATATTCCACTAAAAATTTAAAATAATCACAATAGACAAGTTTAGATGAATTTTAATTGTACCTAAAGTATTGATACTTTCATTTTTATAGCTAGCAATTCTTTTGAGGCTATGATAAGCTCTGAATAAACTATTCCTTGATTCCTCAATAAATTTTCCTTTGGAAAAAAGCTTCCATGATTGTAGCATTCCCTCTAACACATGTGATACATGTAATTGCTTTACAATCACATGTGCTAATTTTGGTGATCTTTCATCAATCTCTTCCAGTAAAATCTCCAGCAGCTCCATACTTGAACATTTTAATTGTTGAAATTTTTTGTCCTAGAATGACATAACACATCTTAAACTACAATACATTTTAACAAATTATAATGAAAATAGAATACATTTTGGCCTTCATGTGAAGAAGACATACATGTATTTTGTTATGCATAATTTGGCTATGGATTATAAAAATACAGTAAGGAACCTCAAAGACATAACATTTTAAACTAATGTTGTTACGTTAGATTTGCTCACTTGAAATTTAAAATCTGCTTCTAGTATTGCATTTATTGAGACAATTGCTTGACCTTTGCATGCAATTGACTGATTGCTGTAGCTGCCAGCACACATCTCTATCAATGCCTGAACTGCTTTTTGTGCTATAATAATCTTTGCATCATTCAAATCCTCAACAATGGCTAAGAGCAAAAAAGCTACTTGGCAAACAATATTAGAGCCCTATATAATTACAAAAGTGGAAAACAATAGTTATAACATTAATTATTATTATATATACATTTAGTTTGTTCCCACTCAAAGCATCTTGCATTGTTTTCTGTTGTCCATCACACAACCAAATAAGTACATCTAATGCCATTGTAATTCGATAATCAACAGAATGAGCAGTGCCTGCATCTTTTGGAATAATTTTATCATCCACATCACTATCCATAATAGTCAGACTCTATAAATTAAAAATTATTGATTTTGGATTAATTATTTAATTCTATAGCTTACTGCTAATCTTGTAGATGACAATAGTGACTGGAGCTGTGGAGGTTGATGCAATAATTTTCTGTGATTTAATAAAATTAAGTATTAAGGCATAAAACATGGAAGATTACTTGGAATCTGTAAGGGACAATTGAGCTTCCGTTAATATCTGACTGATGCATAAAATAAAATTCTGATCATGTTGATTGATGCAAATGGTTATTTTCTGTTGAGCCTCATGATTTCCAGGGTAAAGAAGAACGTTAAAGCATGCCAAAACTTGAAAGGTTATATCACTAATAGGGTGCTGCAGCAGATCAAGCAACTATAGATCAGCATGCTAAATATTAAGTTAATACAGCTTAAATTAACATACCATCATTACAAAACCATTTTCTTCACAAAGCAGTATCTTTTGAAGGGGCTGAACAATAATCTCACATTGCCTATTATTATAGTAGAAAATAAAAATAGATTAGTATTCATTACTGGAGATTCATCAACGACTCAAAATAACTTACTTTTGAAATTCATCTGGTTTTAAAGCATTTCTTTGTGAATTTATTTGTGATATTTTTTTATAAACTATTCCACATATTAACTGCAAAGTTTTTACAGTCATTTTCTCTAAGTTGGTTCTTTCCAAGCAGTGCAAACCAAGTTCCTTTTGCTTTTGAACTAATGTTCTATAAGGTAAAAATTTAAATTACTATATTTATGTGAGTCTATACTGAAGTATTGGTATTAGTGTCAAAATTTTTGGTGTCTGACTAGATCTACCATTGCTATAAAGAAAAGGGACTTTTAATTATTACACTTTTAAGTTACACTCATGCAAACCTAAAATTTGTATCCATGAATAATTCAAGAAGTTTCTCAAAACTAGGTTCTTTAGGAATTGATAAGCTCTTCTGCATGTCATCTATTGTAAAACAAGTCAAATTAATCATTTTGAAATTATTATATCATAATACTGCTGATTAACCTGATGTTTCCTCAGAAAAATATGCTTTGGAGTATTTCATTATGAATGCTTGAAAATTTCTGTTAATAACTGCACATTCAGTTTCATTCCGATGGGGCATTGAATTTGAATCAGAAGATAATGATTCTACTTCTTTCTGTTTAACAAATTTTGAAAACTAAATAAACAAAGCAAACTTACACATATTCCTAATTGATGGAGATTGTCTAAAAAATTACAGCACTCTAACTGCTCCAATATAGATTGAGTAAAATATTCTTTCTCCATAAATTTCTTTAAAAAAAAGATGTTACTTTTACATAACGTATAAATTACCATTAAATTTTCTGCAAGACTTGTTAGGATATTGATATGTTCATCTTTCAGTTGATTTTTATATGAATGGACTGACATTTCCCGACAGAACCCTGACAGCAAGGGAATTACACCCTCAATGACAAACAATAACTTTCTACAAGTATCAGCAAATTCTTTATTAAATTCTTCATTCTCCTTTGCAAGTGCATATGTGTTCCAGTAGGATTTATTCATAATTTTCAGCTGATTTTTACTATCCATAGTTACAATTTGCTCTAGCAGCTTTTTTATTAATGGATTGATATCCTTTAATAATTCCCAAAAATCACTAAAGTATAAAAAGATGATCATCATTAGTTCCAAAAAGTATAGTTACTTATTAGATGCTAAATTTAGACAATCAGAAGCTGAGTCTCTTTCAGTGAATAAATAAGTCCAAGTCAAGACACGAATAAATGGCAATTTCCAGTCATCATTTTTTATATCTTTACTAGTTAGAATGCTATTAAATATTACAATTGTTATTATTATTTTTTTAGATACACTAACCTGAGTAATTCATCAATACTATAGATTTGAGAAGAAATGGATTCTGCATGTTGACATTCTCCAGTAGCACACGAAGCCATAAGATCAGTTACATTAAGAAGGAGATGGGGAGTTGTATTATGACTTGCACAGTCCTGTATTAATATACATGCACATAATTTAGTGCAAAAACTTAAAAAGAAATTTACTTTCAATTGTTCCAGCTTAAAATTTCCTAACAATTGTTTTAAGGTATGTGTTTTGTAATCTGCAATGAGTTGTGCTATATGTTCCTGAACTGGAGTAGCTAAACTAGTATTCTAATATGATACAAAGTGTCAAATGTGTATATGTATAGCTGATTGAGTTACTTCAATAATGATCCTCAGTGTAACAGTTAATTCATAATGCTCATTGTTGCTGCTTGTAAGAGCAATATGAAAAATATGACTAATGTCAGCAAGAGATAGCTTTTTGTAGAGTTGTTTGCAATTATTAGAAAACATCTATAATAATTGACCATAATAATAATAATAACAAATTAGCTATACAAACTTCATTGAGTAGATGTATCATTTCTGATACTGCAGTATCAACTTCAAGGAAATCATATAAGCTAGTAAAGAGCTTGCTTTGCACCTATATTAATGTTATTTTAGTGTCATAATAATCTATCACTTACTCTTTTATTTTTCCTAGCAATTTTTTGGAGAACAATGAAGCAGCTTTTCAGAATCTCTTCATTAACTTCATCATCACTTGACACTTTGGGTTCCAGAACAATATCAAGAAGGACATCAAACAATCCTACATACTAAGGATAGAAAATAAGGAATATTTATAACTAACCACAACTATAAGCAGCTTCTTGATTGACAATATTTGGTTCAGTTTTGTCTTCCCTTGAGACACATGCTTCTGATAATTTCTTTAACTCAGACAGCAAATTTTGTGAAGTAATTTCCCTTTTAAAAACTTGACGTAAGAGTTGTTCTTTATCAGTCATTGTAGCCAATTGCTTCATGCTACTATGAACTTCACATTCTTCATAAGTAAAATATGCTCTTTCTGCACTCTCGGCAAGGATCATTTCTTCAAGACTGTAGATACTATATAGCAGTTCGATACTTCTTAGACGAAGTTCAGCATCATCATGATTAACAAGAACAATCAAACTGCTACATAATTGCTTGCAAACATCTTTATCAATGTCAAAAATGCTATTTTGACTACAATACCCCCTTAAATGATACTGTACTACCCCTGTCAATCTAATTGTACATAGGATATGACTAGAACAATCAATAGTTTTTAACATACTCTTTTCTTAATTCACTTTTGCCCACTAATTCTGACATCAATGGTGGGGGACATCTATCACACTTAACAACAACCTCTGGTAATTCAATACCATCAGAGTTATCAATGTTGTCTAAAAATAATTTTCAATAACATACTTTCATAAAATAATGTACCATTAAGAGAAGCAGTTTGACATTTCTTTCTTAAGCAGTTAAAATCTTGACATAATTTCTAACATTATGCTGAATTGACACAATTATGATAAAAACTGCTTACTTTAATAGAAGTGTTAACATTCCATCTAAGAAGTGATTTGAGAGACATCAATGCTCTGATTAAAAAATAAAAAATGCATAATTTTAATAATAACATACAAAGCTTTCATTTTGAGAGCAACAGGATCATGGTGGCTATCATGATCATCAGTAGGCTGCTTTCCTGTCAATGAATAAATGTTAACAAATGTATACACAGCTAATACCATTTAGTACTGCAATTAAAATTTGAACGACTTTGTTACAATTATTAATGACTCCAAAGTCAATAAGAAAAGTAATTGCAATCAATGCTTGAATATGAACAGCATGATAGTCAGTCTTAGGTTTAAAATCCTATAATGCCATAAGGTCAATACACAGAAATGTACTAAATATACATACATCTTCATTCAGTTTTTTAATGGCTTGATTTACATCATCAAAAGAATTTGCTGAAGCTGGAGAATCAAACTGAAATTCTAGGTTAAGGCATACAAAATATTTTATATGCAATAAATAAAAATAATTATTACTTTCATTTTTATCAACTTTTATGAAAGTACTGAAAGAGCTATTTGCAGAGCTCAAAGATTTTTCGATATCTCTTCCATTACTTTTAAAAAATTGAATTAGTTCTTGAGCAGAAATACAGGAGTCAAACTAAAAGAAACATGCATAAAGTTACAAATTACAACACTATCTACCATTTCAGAGACTTTTTCAGCAGTTTTTTCTGAAATAAAAAATTATATTAGTTAATCTTAATTATTTTAAAACCTTGAACTTCCCAATTCATCCATTTTACATTAAATGCTAACGTGCTAAGCAAATTGACTTCATCTGATTCCTAAAAATATAACAATAATAATAATAGCAATTTTTCAGGTTTTCATACTTGAGCCGAGGGGTCAGGTCGAGGAACTGCTTGAATCAAGGGTAAAAGATATCCTTGTAATAGAGAACTGTCTGCTTTCCTAACAACATAACTTAATATTATTTCTGTTTTACTTAAATGACATACGGATATCCATTAAAAAAAGTAATAAGAACATTTTCAGCGCCACATTTACGTCCAACCTGATAAACACAAAAATAGATCAAAAATAGCTAGAAGCATACCAATTTCAATAAAACATCAAGAAGAAGCTTTTTTTGAGTGAGATAGTGAAGTGATTTTAAGCTACCATTCTTTACGTAGAGTAGTAAAGAGGTGCAAATACTGCTGCATAAATCCTGCTTTCTATTATATAAATTATAACAGATCGAATGTATCATTTTAATTGTTATCAATCTTACTCCTGAGAAGATTGATTTATTTTACTCAGAATGACTGCCAAAACATCAATCATCTAGGCATAAAATAAAAATAATTGTAAAATATTTAATTTATAAATTTGTAATACTTTCAAAGTCCTGAGCATGTTTGCAAGCCGTGTTTTGTTAAGGGAACAATTAAATGAAGCTTGCAATCCTTTCATTAGCTCAATAATCCTCGAACTCATTACTTCAGTAGTCAAAAACTATGTATAAATATTTCAAAACTTTCCTTTAGCTAATTTTATATACCTTTTCTAAAGTTAAAGTCATTCCCATAACTTCATAGACGTCAGCAACAGTGTCATTATCAACCTAAATAATCTTCAATAAATAAATTTTCTTTTATATTAATTACAACCTTTATTAGTTTAAATAGGGTTTTTTCTTCTCCAAGAACAAGCTATAATAGTTATGAGCATTACAGTGCTGGGTAAGTCAACTTACTTGGATATCTGACACTTTCTCTTTCTCAACTAAGAAGCAACAGCAATAAAAAGTATGTGACTATTAAATGAGTATGACTAACCATCAAAACATAAACATTTTTGCTTATCAGATTTTGTGCCATTATAAAATATGACTTGATCTGAGAACTGTAGTACTTTCTACATAATCATAGCATACAAATATAGGCAAACAGTCATACTAACATGACTAACCTTAGGTCTAGTATCAACTGCTCCAATACTAAATACTTCACCTTCACCCTCTTGAACTACAATCTAAGCAAAAAATAATTTTTATTTCCACTTGCACTGTGCACAAATAAACCCCTTTTTGATCTTAATTAATACAGTACATGCTCATGTGCTGATTCCAATAAAAATTAAATTTTTGAAGTTGCTCCAAAATCATGCCAAAAACCCTGTACTATGGTCTTTGGCCAAAATGACTAGAAGAGAATTGTAGTTTTTTGATCATAAATGTTCTTATTTGTGTATCAAGTCTGAACTGAATCCGATCAGAACTAAATTTTTAAAATTTACTCAAAAATTAGGTCACTGTACAGGTTTTTGGCAAAACTTTAGCAAAAATGATTGGGAAAGAGATCTCCTTTTTCATAATTTCTTTCAATTCATGTACATGTTCTAATGTTGTAACTTGTGAGTGTAGTACGTTTGAGCTATTTCTGATCAAAATTTTATTTTTGGGGAATTTTTAAAATTGCGCTGCAAAGGGGTGTACATGTCTATTGTAATTGTCAGCTTATATGAAGCATGCTTTTTGAAAAAACCCAGTATTTGTTATAACACCAGCTCATGCAATATCTGATTTATTAGCTTTAAGTTTACGACAAGCTTGGTGCTTTAAAATCAGATATTGCTACTAAAGCTACAAAAATGAAAAATTGATTTGTTCTAGGCTTTTTGAGGTCACATTTTACTCACTTCACTAAACTTTGAGAGTTTTTAGCAGGGTGCATATACACACTGTCTTGACAAGTTAGGTTAGTTATTTCAGGACAAATTCACATGAAAATTCAAAATAGTGCACTATAACTAACTTTGCCATTTCTTAAAGATATATACTGCTGCGTAAGTAAGTGCTTTATTCGACATTTATTTTCTAAGGCAAAATCATCCCCTAAAAGTTCCAGATAAAAACAGAATAATAGCAGCTAGATAGTATATAAAATGTATTTATACATGTACCTTTAAATATCTCTGCTTTTTCTTTCTCTAACTGAAAGAATGTGTCACCAGAAAATGGCTGAGTGTTAAAAAATCCCTTTCTCCACCTTCGTAAGCTTACTGTACCTAATTACAAAGTTTAAAACATACATAAATTTGAAAATAAAACCTTTATCTTGAGACTCAGTTGGTAACTTTCTGGAAACAAGTGAGCCTGTAGCAGAAAGATATCCATCAATTTTTGTACCAGCCAACATAACAATACTTCCTCGCTACAAATTTAGTATACATAAAAATACACTGATACAGGTGAAATGAAACCTTTATTGTTTGAGGGTTTGACAACTTGTCCATACAACTGTAAGGCTCAACAGAAAATACAGTGCCATCACCTCCTAAGGCAGGACGATAACTATTCAACCTAAAAATTATTGCATCATTCTGATGTATAAGTACCAGATTTCATCAGGGTTATGACGAAACTTAATCTCAGTGCCTTTATGAAGAATGCTTTCAAGCTTGATGCCATCATTCATCATTAGCTATATAATAATAGGAAGCAAACACTGACATAACTAAAAATTAAAGACTTACTGATTTACCCCATCCCTTTTCTTTATGAGGAGGAACAATCCTAAACAGAGACATCTCTCCCTTATCTTCACTTTCAAGATTAACATCCTATATAAACACTTAAAGTGCACTTAAATATGACTCATTTTTATACTTTTTTATTTGAAACAGTTAGATATCGACCAGACACATAATGACATAGCTACACAAAACAGATTATAGTCTGAAATGATTATTTATACTTTACTTTGACAGTGCTTCCATACACAAAGGTTAATAACGCTTCTGGCTTACTATGTTAAAGACATCACATTTTAAGCAAGTCAAATGAAGTTATTACTTTTCATCTAGTAATTCTAGCTCCTTATAGTCATCATTAGGTAGACTACCATGAATGATACGAAACAATGCAACTAAAAAGTAAATATTATTATGCCCACCTGTATCAATAATTTATCATATATTGTGGTAAAAAATTAGAATAGTAATAAATACAAGCCTAAGAATATAACTGGAGCAGCTTTAACAAGTTACACATTCACAGAAGTACAATTAACACAAAGCATTTGATGTGTAATCTCTCATCAACACAAAACATGCATGCCCACACACATGCACTACAGTTGCTATTGCTACAAATATTTTTTTCATTAATAAGATTTGAATGTGGATTGAATGTGCATGCACAGTGACTGAGCTGAGCCAGAAGGACAAGGGGTTCACATTGAACAATACTCAAATTTAAATGAAAAAGCAAACACACACACAATCCATACCTATTACATAATATTACATGAAATACTGCCATCATGTACTTGATTGTTGCAGAATTAATTATTTTTTAAAAATTTCAAAATCCACAAAATTAACAGGCCTCGAAATTTTGCACTGTATACCGTATAGCAGGTAATTTTGGAGGGGCTAAAATTTGGATAATTGCTAAATTTTGGTGATTGGCTGATTTTTAATTTGGTGAATTTGTGGCCACGTGCCATTGAGCATGCGTATAATGGCTCAAAATGGCGGATTTTCATTTTGGCAAATGGCCATCAAAACGCCAAATTCGCCAAATTTAATCCCCTCCAAAATTACCCGCTATACGGTATGGTAAACAATAATTATATTACATATCCACCCACATACATAATTTGGATGACATAAACCTTTTACATGAGTATGAAAATATAATTTACATTAAAAAAATAACAATGCTTTGGGCTCGTTTCGGGGTTACAAAAAAGAGGGTGACAAAGTAGCCTAAGTAGGAGTGAGAGTACCAGACACCAGGGTAATGTGTCACCAGGCACCAGCTAATGACACCCATTCATTAAAAATTGATCTATCCCAACCCCCGGCTATTCAATCTGAGATCTGGACTTACAATCGTTAATAAAACCAGTGTCTTGATCACTCATTTGTTGTGACTTCGGTTGTGACGAAATTGTCAATTCACCTTTTTCAATACTAGAACTACAATAGATATAAGAATAGAAGATCTTGCAAGTTAATTAGCTCTACCTTAAAGGTTCACTGTAAACATAACCAGTTTTGTCTGGGCTACGAATAAGAAGCAGCACAACATCACCATCGTGCACATGATGGCGCCTGTTCTTTCCTGATTTGTCAGGCTCCATCACCTAACAGTAGTCGAATAGCAAATCTCTGCAGAATTACAGGTATTTAATAATATAATCTAATCAGGAGCCAATGATGTAATTCAAACATGTCCAGGGAATTTGGTGGGGACAAACCCAGGGACTCGCCGTGCATGGTTAGTGCTAAAATAATGCATGCGTATCATTCTAGATGAGTAGAGTAGATAATGATTATATTCATACCTCAGGCTTTCCCATCATAGATTTATCAATATTACAAGAAGATTTTGTTTACCAATTATACACACTAAAATATAAAACTAAATAAAATTGCTAAGGTTTTGGTTAATAAGTAGTGTTATCATGATAATTGATATATCTCTTCACATGCGTAGGCAAAGACGGATTAGTTTCATATCCAATTCTTTCCTTGACAATAGCCTTACTGATGATACAAGCTAAAGGTAATGGCTTCAAGTCAAAGAGAGCTTGCAGCTGTGGACGTGATGCTATCTGTGATGGTTCTATTCCATTCAGTGACACGCCATCATAATGGGCCCCATGTATAAACAATGTGTTGACTATTGGAAGGTAACATGGATCCATTTCAGCCAGCCTCACTGCCATATGTAACGGAAGCTCACCTTTACAGAAGAATTGTTTATAAGGTGTGTTGAGCAATGTGACATTACTACAGCCTAAGAGCAGTAGCGTCTCTATCAACTGTATGTAACTGTTAATGGAGTTTCGTCCACCAAGACCAGATAATTTGATAGTTTCAACAATTGGTGATGCTTTTCTTAATGCAAAGTGAAGGAATGATGTGCAGTTCTCAGTTATATGCTGATCATATTTCTCAAGAATATCAGTAGCAACCTCATTCAATGCCTTCCTTGAGCCAAAGGGAGATGGAGTGTGATTGGAGAAGTACAAAGCAGCTGACAACATTGCCAAAAGGTGGCAAAACATAATAATGAAGTTCTCTCCCCAATGATCAGGACTCTGACACAATTGATGATTCTTAAGCTCCAGAATAGTATCCAGTATTACCATGAATGCTCGAATAAAAGGAACATAATTTAACACATAACCACCAACCACTAGAGCACGGTGTGTTTCCCTTATGCCATTAGTAAGAGATAGTGATATTGTCACATGCAAGTGAGAGGGCATCATGTAGACACCAAGTTCCATCATCTGTTTCTCTGTTAGTGGCATCATGTGCATTGACTTGATGAGGAGGGCCTCCACCAATTCCCAATTGGCCCTCAACGTACACAAAATTGAGAGAGCTTTCTCAATATAACTTACTAGCAATTTACTTGACTGGCCCAGTGTACGCTCCAATATTGATATACATTGCAATATCATTATTGAGTGATCTTTAGTATCGTTATACATTGAAGCAAATTCCCTTACATCCTCTGTACTGCGTACCTCCTTAGAACCACTAAACTTCTTAAGAGATAGCGGAACAATAACGGAATCTTCCCTACCTTGAAGAGCCTTCTCCAGTGACTCAAACGTAGCAGAAGTTGGGCTCACTCCTTTCTTGTATGCTGAGAGTACACCTAAAGACCAAAAGATTAAATCGATGTCACTCTCGATAAGCATTGGATAGGTAATGTCTTTCTTTAAGACATTGACAACCTGATAATGATGACTTGCTGCTGCTAATATTATGGCTGGAGGAAGATAGACATTGCCCTCAACGAAAGACTCTGTTTTGACTTTATCTGTTAACTTCTTTGATTGTAGCAATGCCCGTACTATCCTGTAGTGTCCAGTCTCGGCTGCAATGTGAAGTGGTAAGCGACCATCTTTACTCCGTTTGCTGATATCAGCATTGTGAGCTATGAGAAGATTGATCATGTCTGGCGAATCAAAAAAGATGCCAGCGGCAATATGAGCGGGTGTCAGTCCTAATCGATTAATCACATTAACATCGGAATCATTACAATTAAGTATTAATTTCATGATTTCAAGTCTATTGTGGTAAGCTGCTTCACATATTGGCTGCGACCCTGAACAATCGTAACTATTTAACACCTCACTGCTCACTCGCCCCTTTTCTAACAGGTTCCTAACTTCTTCAGCATCACCCGTCACAATGGCTGCGTGTAAGGCGGAGCAGTGATGGACAGCTCGGATCACTACAGGCTCTTCATGTTGAGGGTTGTTATCTCTTTCAATCTTGCTACCTAAAGGAGTGACGGTGTGGAGATTAGGGCAAGGACTTGATGCTGGCTCTGGTGAAATTGGCCTTGTTTCTCTACCAAAAATGACAGTGTAGCCATTGTCGCTTGATTTGTCTTCTAAAACTACTTCCATCATACCAGATGCCATTGCTGTGGTAGCTCTCTAAAAGTGCCGACACATCAAATCAGCTCAGCTGAGCCAGCCACACCTTCTTCTAACCCAGCCTTTTTCTACCACACCTCCTCTCCTTGATATTTCATCATCTTTGATACATACAAATTCAATTCTCCTCTCGTCCTCTTCTTATCTGCTCTCTAACCTCTGGGGATTATCATGTTGTCTAGTGATTCAGAGACATCCTGTGAGTACGGCTCTGTCAAGTATTTTGCTCTCTGTGGTTTTGGTGGAATATTATCATGTGGCCCAACACACACTGCTGTAGTTCCATTGGATGTAGCAAAGTGTAAAATACAAGTCAATCCAATGAAGTACAAGAACACAATGCAAGCTCTTAGGCTGACAGTTGCTGAGGAAGGTGTGAGGGGACTAGCAAAAGGATGGGCACCTACGCTAATTGGGTATTCTATGCAGGGGCTGTTCAAGTTTGGGCTTTACGAAACGTTCAAAGTCCTCTACTCAGACCTTGCTGGACAGGAAAAGGCGTACCTCTACCGGACGGGCCTCTACTTAGCTGCTAGTGCTAGTGCAGAGGTTTTTGCTGATATTGCATTAGCTCCAATGGAGGCAGTCAAAGTTCGCATGCAGACACAGGAGGGTTGGGCTAATACCCTCCGCCAGGGTGTACCAAAACTTTGGGCGGCAGAAGGATTGACCGGTTTTTATAAAGGGCTTCCGCCACTGTGGTTTCGTCAAGTTCCCTACACAATGATGAAATTTGCTTGCTTCGAGAGAACAATTGAGTTTTTCTACAAATATGTGATACCTTATCCTCGAGACAGCCTCAGCAAGCCTGCACAACTAGCAGTGACATTTACTTCAGGCTACATTGCTGGGATATTCTGTACACTAGTTAGTCATCCTTTTGACACTGTTGTCTCTAAACTCAATTCTGATGTTGGTAGCTCTCCTTGGCAGACCTTCAAGGGTCTTGGCTTCAGTGGAATGTGGAAGGGTTTGGGTCCTCGTATTGCCATGGTGGGTACTCTGACAGCTGCTCAGTGGTTCGTGTATGATACTTATAAGATATATATGAGGATTCCTAGACCACCACCTCCTGTTATGCCAGAAAGCCTCAGACAGAAGCAAGAAATCTAAATAGATCTATTCTAATTATTTTATTGTTGCATCATGTAATTATTTATTATTTTAAATCTTATAATTGTTTTTTCCATGACTCAC